TTCTCTTCTCTTCTCTTCTCTTCTCCTTTCTTTTCCTTTCTTCTCCCTTTCCTTTCCTCACTTTTTTCTTCTCCTTTCCTTCCCCTATTCTTGTGCCTATTCTGATTTCACTCTTGCTCTTTACCTTCAGCAAGTCATCTCAGGAAGACTTATCTTTCTCTTTTTTCTTAAACTGTTGTGGAAGATTGCACCTTGAAAAGCATGGTAATTTTTCTGTTGGGAGGATTGGTATAATTAGTTACCTGCTTTAGCCTTTGATGAGGAGGAAAGTAGGAAGAAAAGAAGAGGGAGGCAAGTAGCAGGTGAGTCTCAAAGGGCCTTACTTGCCAGATGCTTCAGAACACGGGGCAGTTCAAAGCAGCTTCCTAGGGAAGTTGTACATGGATGCTAATGGTGAGCCAGGACCAAGAGTTGGTGGAGGCATAGCCAAGACTGTCTACCATTATATTTTCTCTGACAGTGTTTACTAGCCCAAGCTCTAGAGTTGATCACTTTCATGGTACTCTGCTGTCAGAAGGGGCTGCACAGACACTCTGGATTGTGTAGCTCCCTAGCTGTTAGCTCCTGATGCCAGAAATCCTTCTGTGAGTTGCTCAAGGTCCAGAGTTTACATATTCTGCACTTGACTAAGATTCTGTAGTGCTGCTGTTCCTCCTTGTAAATTTAAAAGCAAAATATGAGCCAGGCGAGGCATAGTAGCTTGTAGCAAGGATGCTTGCAGCAAGAAATAAATCTCTCATTTACTCCATTGTGAACAACCCCCAGAGACACATGCATGAAGTTTTGTAAATGTAATGGACAGACCTTGAGGGACTGTAGCTCGTTTCCATCATGGAGAGTAGGTCTTTGAGGAAAAGTCTACAACTGCCCTGAAGAGCACTAAGTCTCCGCAAAAACCTCGACACTACTTCAGTCTTGGTTTGGCAAGGCAGAGTCATTCTGTAAGGAAAGTTTTGCAGAGAGCCTTCACTTTGCATGCAAATACAGTTTCTAAGCCATTTTTTCAGCACTGATTTTGCTGTTTCCAGTTTTCTGGGTGCAAAGGGGAGGAATGGACTGTACATCCACAGGTGTGGTGATCTCAAGCCACAGAAGTCCTCTTGTTGAAATCCCAAAGCAGCAGCATGTGCTATGGAATGGCTGCAAACCTTGAGAAGAGTCTTTCCTTGTATTTGTCTTAAGCTTCCTGGAAGGATAACTGCTCTGAATATCAACACCTTATTTTCAGAATGGGGTGAGAGAGACAAGCTCTTTCTGCTGTGGTTACACTGGTGCAGTATGGAATGACGACACCTGCCACAATTGTGCAGCCTAGCTAGGTTTTGGGGAACATCTGCAGCCCTCAGGAAAACTAGCATCCTTCTTAGCTAAGCTCCCTGTTTACTACTGCAGGTAACTTTTCCTTGTTAGCAGGTCCTGATTGAATGAATGTTCTGTGATAGAATGGTCAGAAGTGAGATCCTGAGAGGACTGAGCAGCTTCCATCCTCTCTTGAGCTAACACCATCCCCCAGCACTGCCTGCAGCTCTCTCCTCTCCTCTCCTCTCCTCTCCTCTCCTC